CATTCGTTCGAATGATTGGCTTAAATGATGCAAATGTGCTTCTGCAGATATATATTTGATGACTATATCATCAATATACACCTGCATGAAGGTTTCGATGAAGTCATGAAAGATTGAATTCATCGCCCTTTGATAAGTTGCCCCAGCATTTTTTAAAGCAAAAGGCATCACCACCCATTCGTAGGTGCCTAAGGCTCCTGGGCAACGAAATGCTGTTTTTGCAACATCTTCTTCAGCAATGAAAATCTGGTTATATCCAGAATACCCATCTAACATGCTCAAGTATTCGAATCCTGCAGCAGAATCTACTAGCATTTCTGCCACAGGCATGGAATATTCATCCTTAGGGGTTGCAGTATTTAAATCCCTAAAATCTATGCAAATTCTTAAAGAACCATTTTTCTTAATAACAGGTACTATGTTTGCTAACCATTCAACGTACCTTGTTGTTCTGATGAATTTGCAGCGCAGCAACCTTTCGATCTCAGCTTTAATTTTTGTGAGAACCGCTGGTGCGAATCTTCTGGGAGTTTGTTTGATGGGCCTCTTGCCATCTTTGATTGGCAGTCTATGTTCGACCAACTCCCTCTTTAAACCAGGCATCTCATCATAATCCCATGCGAAACAATCTTTGTTTTTCCTAAGGACTTCGATCACTTTTTCCTTGAGGCCTGGGCTAAGTTTAGCACTTACGTAAGTTACTCTTTTCGTTTCTTCATCCCCTAAGTTGACTTCTTCGAGCGGGTCCTGTGCCAACATTTTGACACCTGATTTTATGGGGTCCCTTTCGAAGCCTAAGGGTTCTTTGTCATAGATGGCATCCAACCTTTGATCCATCTCCAATTCTTTGATGGGTGAGCATTTCGCACCCCCCCCCCCCACTGCCTTCATTCGTCTTTACAGTTGATTCATTTATTTCAGCCTCTAAGGCCGCTTTCGATTCATTCTCAGCCATATAGGCCGAAATCCTTTCGAAGAAGGTAGACTCAGTCATGGTTAAGGTTGTCGAAGTTCCAGCCTGCTGGCCGTTTTTGTATAGCACCTTCAACCTCATCTTCTTCACTGATTATTGTTCTATCCCAGTAAAGACCATCATGACGAAGTGTCATGTAGTAGTGGGCGTTTCTAGTTTGATAAAACTTAATCCACCACTCCAGAAATCCTTTAGCCGCGAGATGAGTAGGTTCGAAGGCTATCAGCTCAAATTGGGCAAAGCCTTGATATTGTTCTTGTTGAATCTTGGCTTCCCTTGCCTTGAAAGTTCGACCAGATGTAATGGCGCTCTCAGTTTGGAACAAAGGTTCAGGAATCAGTTGGCATAAGCCAAACTGCCTCGAAACGAAGTTTGGTTGATAGGCAAAGAGGAGAATTTGATTCTTAGCTGGGGTTATCCTTGAAGAGATGAGTCTAGGAAGCAAAAAAGCTCTCCATACATCTTGGATCTCCTTGCTCTTGATGGCTTCTGAGAGAGCCATGGTGAACCAAGAAGGTCCATGAGTCCTCGAAGCAAAAGGCGCCATGCTCTCTTCGAACTTATGCCTTTTGGAGAGGATCATGATGTACTTCGAGAATTGAACCTTGAAGTCATCCTTGTCATCATTAGGAGTTAGTCTTCGAAGCCTAGTGCCTTCGACTATCCTATCACTTATTTCTGAATCTTGCTCATCTATGGTGTTAGCGGTTGGTAAAGAAGGTTCGAACATGGCGTTTAGCCATAATTGGAGTAACCAAAATGGGCCAGCTAATAGAATGTTTTTAGAGGTGTGGGATTTGAGACTCGAAACGGCTGACCTCAGGCTCTCATAGAGGTCAACTAAGAGTAATTCACTTAGGCACACTTTGCGATTTTCGTGTAAATCCCTAGCTAAAGGAATGAACCTGCTAGCTACCTGCAGGGATCTACTGCAGAAAACGTACCTAGACAGCCACAGGGTTAAGAATGCAATATGCTCTATGTCAGACACATTATCCCCTTCAGCATGATAATGGCTGATAAATTTGGAAAAGCTGGCTAACTTGACTTCGAAGTCAATTATGCTGGAGTGCTCTTCATTGTCAGGAACATAAGTTTCTCCCACTGGCGACAGCCCAGTAATAGCCGCTATATCAAAGAAAGTTGGGGTAATCATTCCACCTGGGAGATGGAAAGTGTTGTAGGTACTATCCCAGAAATAAAGGGACGCGAACAGCAGAGGGTGGCTATAGGTGAATCCAGGTTTCGATAGCTTAATGAGGTTATAAATGCCTAGTTCTTCCCATTGCTGGGATTTTTTGGCTTCTACTTTCGCGAACCAATTTTGATAGGCAATATCAGAATTAGGGCAAGATCTAAATGGTTTAAAATTGCTTTTTACATAATCCAAAACAAATGGGTCCTTGGGAGGAACAGTTGGGGTTTCTGCGGTATTCGAACTGAGGGATTCTACTACCCTAGGGGTATCCATTTTGTTGAATAAAGGTTTGAAGCTATAACATACGGGAAAAATTGTCCTGGTGTCCTTTAGTATTTCAAAAACTGTAAGAGGACCATTTAAGGCTAACCTCTTACCAGCAACATGGGTAGGGATGAGTACCTGTGATGCGTACAGCATTTCTTTTTCTTTGGAAATCATTTGAGGAGCAAGAGCAGATTGGCCTTGAATGGTGACGATTTTACTCTCCATGGTGGCTCCTGTAGTCTTTCCCTTCTTCTTTGAGACTTTCTTGAGTTGGGAAGAGGTGGAGGAAGACATTTTGTTGTTTGAGAGCTTAGATTGTTTGTGAGAGAAGAAGAGTAAAAATCCAGAGTATGAAATATTTAGAGTGTAAAAAAGGAAAAGGAAGAGTAAATTGACGTTTTATAATGAGAAGATTAAACATCCACCGAGTAAAAGTGTGATACGTGGAGATCATGGGTTGGTGTGATGAAGAGGTGGCGAGAAGGTGATATAGGTAATAGGCGTGATTTAAAAACAATCATTACTTATAACTGCTCCACGCTGTGAAGTGACTCTGGGCGGTTAAGGAACCCAAAAGGTGCTATGATTGATGTGATTGGAGTCAAAGGCATTAAATGTTATGATGATTCGAAAATCCTATCAAAATCTTGTATAAATGTTTAAAATAGGTATTTCTCAAAGAGATCGAAATACATATTTTAAAAGGGGCAATTTGTTGGCTGAAGATTTTGATAATGTTATTTAGAATTTAAAATTAGTTAAAAGTTCTGATCGAAATGGAATTGAACACCATGTTTCGAAGTTGCAGAAGCAGTGTTTCGAATGAGTGTGTCAAAGCTTGAGGCTTCGAACGGTGATCATGGGAAAATAACCGCTAGTCTTCCAAACTATCGAATAATCTTTATTAACGCTACTCAATCTCTCTGGTAACTCACAGGATCGACTAGATTGATCCTAGGACTCCTTGGATATTAAAGTTACTCTCACAATCGAACAATTATTCATGGTTGCTATTTATGGTTGCTAAATAACATTATCAAAATCTTCAGCCAACACCCTCCCTATAAGGTGGTTTCCTTAAGGGTATCATGAATAACACTAGAGGGAAAGGCACAAGGGCCTCCCTTAAGTGGAGCCTATTTGCAGACCGAAACTTTCGTCTCTAGGTCATAAGAGGTCTCATCACGAGTTTTTGGTTTAAAGGTCGTACAAAGAGTCATAGGTGTCATTCCAAAGTCCTGCTTCCCAAGAGAATGTCTTTGAGAGGTATTCCTTTCGTGGAATTCCACTGAATCTAGGAGAAGTCGTCAGATAAACTCATAGGGATGATGTATCCCCTTGGTTAATAGACGAACCTTCTTTCTAAGGGTTTTTGAAAATATTTTTGCAAAAATTTAAATCGCACCACAAATGAATAGATATAACGAATAATAAAAAAAAGCAAGAAATAAATAAATAATTAAATAATAAAGAATAAAAACACAAAAAATAAAAAATAAAAAACTCTAAAAACCCCAAAACAAAAGGATAAGACTTCTAAACCTAGGGTTGAGTCCCCATAAGAGTCGCCAGCTGTTGTAACTGGTTTTAAATAGAGTCATCTACCTTGTTCACAAGGATACTAGGTTTAGAGGCACAATTTTTAGGAAATAGGATTTTAATTAATTAGGGGAACTCATCACGATTTTAATCGTATGCCTACGTATCCTCTTAGGAGGAATCAGAGTCCCATTTCGTAGTTCGCGGTTTGGTTGGTGTTTTTTTGTAAGATTGCCTACAATTGCTTTCGAATTATCCTTGGACTTGTCTTGGTTGTAAGTTGAGTGATCATAGACGCAATTTGCTGTTTGATTTGAAGACAAAGCTCTTTAATTCTTTTTGAAAATAAGCTTGTAGTTTTTATTATGTTAGTAGAAAAACGATTTAAATTGTTGATTAGCTGTTTTGAGTTTTGAATTGATTAACGAGTTTGATAAGACATAGAGCGTGAGAGTCTGATATAGTCTCCTCATCACGTGTCCAGATATTGGCTACGCGTCATTCTCGGATGGTAAATTTGGTGAGTTGCATAGATTTTAATATCTTTGTAAAATATTGAATTAATTTGATTAAGAAAAATATTAAATTTACTTACCAATTTGATTAGAAAAGCTAAATAAAACTATATTAATTCTATAAATAATTTAGCAGAACTAAACTTAATAGCTAAAATGAAATTAGACTAAAAATAAAATAGAAAAGTATATTAAATAATTGAACTAAAAAAACTAAAACTAATAACCAAGGGGTGTAATAGAAATATAGAAGGGTTAGGAGTAGCCGATGGGCCCAAAGCCCAAAGCCCACTAAAGTTAACCTAATTGAACCCTAATTCTAAATATATCCTAAATGTACTATCATTAAAAAAAATGAATAATGATGAAAAACTAACAACATCAAAGCTGGGGAGGAACCTAATGTAGTGAATACCCTTGACTTTTCAACATTCACACCATATCCCAACACATGATATTATTAAAGGGACTTTACACAAAGATAAATAAATAATAAAAAAAGTAATACCAGTATACAAAAGAGAGAATGCTTATTCTTCTTTGTGAAAGCAAGTATCGCCTTTCCTCTCAGCAGAGCAAAACTTATATCATTCTTTTTTTCTACACAATAGCAAAGATTCCCTTCTTCCTCTTTTGTTCTTTCAATAACAAATTAAACAAACACACAACAAGCTTGAATCGAGTGATTGAAATCAGAAAACAGAAAAAGATCTCACGTGATGGAAGATCAAGGAGGCCCGTGGTGGATGTTGGCGGATTGTGACTGGTCTTGAGCGGCGGCAGGAATCAATCGCGATGCGCGGAGGGAGTTGGCTTCGTGTCGGAAAGTGAGATCGTGTGGGTCGCGGCGATTTGAGAGTAGGATGCACGGCGGTTCAGCGTGGTGACGTGCGCCAGTTCTGTGCGGTGGTATGAACTTTTATGTTCTTTGCCTGTCAAAATGAATATCAGTGCATATGTTATGTAACATTCTTGAGATTTTATGTTTAAGAGACTTTGAAAATTATGGTCATTGAAAGTCACAGTTTGGCAGAGATATAAATATGGTGGTGAAAATTGGTAAAGAAAGGTAGTAGAAATATGCTTGACAAATATATGCGACAACGTTCTATTTTATATGTTGAAACACTGATTTTTGTTTTGAATAAACTAAGCAAATTGCAAATTGTGGTTATCACAAAAAATTTGTATAATTGTTCAACAAAACAAGATGGATAGCAAGTTGCACAAAAGTAATAATTAGTAACACAAACAATGAACAATAATTTCCTATTCTAATGTGAGTTAGTGAGTAAAAAAATATATAATTGTTAGTGTAAAAAATAACCATCACTAAACATCATATGGTAAAGATAAATTAAAATTAAAAAGGATGAAATTGAAAATAAACGGGCCTAATATGAAATTATCGGTAAAAAAATAGTAAAACAAACACCAATAATATTGAGAAGAAAATTTGAAAAGAAAATCCAAAATGAATGAAAGACTCAAAGTCTAATCTGCAAAAAAAGGAAAGAAAATTAGTAACAAAAGGAAATAGAAAAAAAATGTTAAAAAGTGTCTCATAAGAGATTCGAGAACCCGCGATCTTATATTTGTAAGCTTCATTCCTTACCAACTGTGCTATGTTATTTATTCGAAATAAAAATCTAATTGAAAGTACATGAAGACGAGCAAATATTTATTTATTTAAAAAAACAAATGATATAAAATAAATCATTATATTTTTAAATAAGTTTGAAAGCGGATATTTATAAAGATAAAAAAATATTATAAAACCAGTGTTGTAAATATTTTTGACCGTAGAAATAAAGTGCGGAAAAATTTAAGATATGACACAATTTATTCCAATTTGTGGTATTCCTGTAATTACTCCATGTCTCTTCTTGAAATTGAGTGGTTTGGGAAACCTTCTTTTCAATAGCCACCTCTCACTCTGCCTTTTGAGGAGCTTGTTGCTGCTGATCTTTCCAGGAGAAGTTCGGATGATTCTTCCACCCAGTATTGTAGGTGTTTAAATAAGGATTATTCTGCTTCAAGAACTTAATGTCTTCAATTTGTTGTGGAGAAGCTAAATAGTGCATCGTATTGTGCGGTCCATTACAGATTTCACATACAGCATTTTGTGCTTGTTGAACTTGGACAAATTGATGAGTACCTAACTTCAGTGCTTTCAGCTTCTTGTCTACCTCTACAGCAATTGTTTCTTCAATTTTTAATTGTATGTTGGGATCCAACTTTAAATCAATGACTCTGTCAGACTTGCTGGCAACCTTGTCATATAACTCCAAATGCTCATTTGCAGCAATTGCTTCTATTATCTTCTTCACACCAGTGGCTGTTGAGAAATTTGATGAGCCACCAGCTGCTATGTCTATCAGCTGCTTTGTCTTGATTCTCAGACCATTTAAAAAAGTTTTCATTTATTCAGTCTGGTTCGAATTATGAGTAGGGCATGCAACTAGGAGTCTTTTGAACCTTTTATAGGCATCCCCCAGCGATTCTCCTTTTTTTTTGCTTGAAATTCAGTATATCATACCTTTTTTTCTTATGAACACTGAGGCTGGAAAATATTCCTTAAAAAATGCAGTCTCTATTTCTTCCCAAGTTGTTACACTATCATCCGGAAGAGGAAAGAACCATTCTTCAGCATCATCAGCCAATGTGAAGGGGAACATTCTCAATTTCTTTTGTTCCTCAGTATGACCATTTATCTTCAAGGTGGTGCTCATGGTCAGAAATCTCTATAAATGCTTATTAGCATCTTCATTCAACCTTCCCAAAAATGATCTTCTCTCAAGTTGAGTGATAGTACTGGCATGCAGCTAAAAATTTGGTACATTCACCGGGTTATTTACAATAGTGTCTACCAGTCGGTGCATTCCTTCCACCATTGTCACCAAGTAGTCTCTCAGGTGGATTTTAGCCCATGCTTTTAGTTTCTGAATCTAACTCTGTCTCTTGGTGTTCTTAATGGTGTTATGAATCTGTGTCTTGGTGCTCTGAGTGAATTGAGAAAATATCTTCCTTGGAATCCAGTTTGGCTAACTTAGCTTGTCTTCTCCTTGAGTGGAAAGTTCTTTCGATCTCTACGTCAAAAAGAAATTCAGTTGAGGTCTTACCTCGCATAAAAGATTAGTTAAAATATAATAATAAACCAAAATAACTGAAAAATAAATTTTTTTTTTGCAGAGCAATAAAATTTTAATTGAATAACAATGAAACTCGGTATTTTGGCAGTCCCCGGTAACGGCGCCAAAAACTTGATCGGAAAAATAGTAAGTGTACGATTTTCACCGATGTAGTAATAATGGGATTTTCCTAAAGTATCGATCTCGAGGACTACGTAGGAAATACTGAGTTTTATTATTAATTCAATTAAACAAAAACAATAGTTTAGGGTTTGATTGGAATAAATCCTTGCGAAAGATTAAATGACTGAAAGTAAATGTGACTTTTTCTGTTTGATTAAAATATGCTAGGGGTGAGTGTATGATTTCCCATAAAATAACCGTCACTCTTTGATCTCTTCAACAAGTTCATCAACCTCAATTAATGATTCTTAAAATTATATTTCCCTAACTCCTTAGTGAAAAACCTTTAACTTCTACCCTAATTTCAATGTCCATTCAAATTAGTTGAGGTTAAGAACTCAATTATCAAGAACTATTATGGTTATCATAGGATTTCCCTAGTCCTAGGTAAAATTATCTATAATATCATTATTTAGAAAACCTTAACACAAACGCCTGACTCCAATGTGTTAATAACAGCGAAACCCTATGGTCCCATAGGGTAAAACTATAAATTCTTCTAAACAATCAAATTGATGCATAAAAACTGTTATGTTGAATAAAACAAAGAGATCGGTATTCTTAACATTGCAAATCAGGGACCCCCTAGCATTGAGGGTTTTAGCTGCACATAATATTCAAAGGAATTTCAATAAAAATAAAGATAGAAATTACGCAAATTGATGGTGAACTCTGATCTTCAATGGCTTCCGCTCATGAAAGGTCTTCGTTCTCCCAAAACTTGCATAAACTTCAATCTTCTATCGTGAAATTATTCCTCTGGTTCCAAAAGTCCCTTTTTCATTCTTCAAATTAGGTTTTTATAGTACTCGGTCATCCCTTAGCAATCCACAATGTCCAAAGTGTTAGAACATACTTTGGTTCAACATCTTACTTAAATAGTTTTGATCATAACAAATAAATAAAATTTATTAAGAACAATTATGCTCTCTAATTGTCTCATTTGAACTGCAGAGAAGTTCTGAATAAAGAGATTACAAGCTGGCAAAGTATCTCTTAAGAATATCTCGTAATCTTAAAGTTTGCTCTTCTTCATGAAAAAATAGTTGTAACACTCAAAAAGCTCTCTAACTTTTATACTGTTCATTGTATTGTAATCGTGTGTAAACATCACAATTGTGATACAAATTTTTAGAAGGAATCTTTGTAACACAGCCTTTGTTTCAATTTGTTTAAATTCCTTGAGCAACCAAGTTGTTGTTTAGTCTCAATAAGACATTGATAATAGTCTTTGTGGTTTGTAATCAAAGATTTGATTAGTGGATTAAGACCTCGTTGAGAGAGGTGAAATCACCTAAACGGGTGGGCTGGAGTAGTTTGAGTTCAAATGAACCAGGATAAAATTAAAGTGTTATTTTGTTTAAGTTTTTAAAACACTAATTCAAACCCCCCTTCCTTGTGTTTTTCTATCCTTCAATTGACATCAGAGCTCCTGGTTCTGGATGCAAACACTTAACCATGTCAGAAAAAATCCTAGCAAGAAAAACACTATGGTGGGACCCAGTCAGATCATCAGCAATAATAATCATGATGACAAAGACAGAATCGACAGAAAACCTCCAATCTTTGATAGTGAGAACTTCGACTACTGGAAAGACAAAATCGAAAGATTCTTTATGGCTCATGAGACTAATCTCTGGGACATAGTAACTGATGGATACATTCATCCGGTTGACGAAAGTGGTCAGAAGATCGATAGAAAGAGAATGAAAGATCAACAAAAGAAAGAATTCAGAAATCATCATAAAGCCAGAACAATACTTTTGAGTGATATCTCGTATACAGAGTATTAGAAGATCACAAATTGAGAATCAGCTAAAAGCATGTTTGACTCATTAAGAATGACACGTGAAGGAAACACGCAAGTTAAATAAACCAAAGCCCTTGCACTCATTCAGAAGTATGAGGCCTTCAAAATGGAAGAAGATGAAACAATTGAAACAATGTTCTCAAGGTTTCAAATTCTAGTTGTTGGGCTGAAAGTTCTGGACAAAGGGTACTCAATAGCAGATCATGTTAAGAAAATCATCAGAAGCTTACCTAGGAAATGAAGACCCATGGTCACAGCCTTAAAACTAGACAAAGATCTGAATAAAATATCTCTTGAAGAACTTATCAGCTCCTTGAGAAGTCATGAAATAGAACTAGAAGAAGATGAGCCCCAGAATCAAGGTAAGTCTCTCGCTCTTAAATAATAATAAATATGAATCTAAAGCTTTTCAGGCAAAAGAAGATAAATTATCTCTTCTCTCCAGAAGAGTCAATCAACTATAGAAGCACAAACAGAGTAAGTTTAGAAATCCCAGAAGAACGGGAAATCATTCTGAATCATCTCCTGGATACAGAAAATCTAGCAAAAAGGACATTGTATGCTACGAATGCAATGAATCAGGTCACTATTGTAACTGGTTTTAAATTTGAGAGTCGCCACCCTTAATTTTTATCCTAAGGAATGGAATATAAAGGATAACCCTAAAAGTTAGAGATTCTATGTTTTTTGGACTCGGTTCTAGATGAAGGGAAGGTATTAGGTATCCCTCATCTACCTTGTTCACAAGGATACTAGGATTAGAAGCGCGATCTTTTAGGAATAGGGTTTTAGTATTTTATTAGGGGAACTCGCCATGATTTTAATCGTATGCCTAAGTATCCTCTTAGGAGGAATCAGAGTCTCATTTTGTAGTTCGCAGTTGGTTTATATTTTTTATGGATTATAGAGACATTCTCATTTTCCGCATGTTTAGTCTAGGTGTCGTGAATGGCGGAAATAGTTAG